TGAGCATTTTTAACCTGCAAGTTCATAACATACTTATCAAAAGGTTGCTTTGGTTAAGAATTCTGGTTCATTGTACTTATGGGAAGGGAATTAGGAGTGAATAGGGCAAAAATTCAAATGAATAGAAAGATATTAAATATCAAGAAAAAATAAACAAGATATATATAGTTTGATTAAGTTGAATCCGATTATGTTAGTGGTCGCAAGTCATATAGGCAGGGACTTGTAAAGGATAAGCATGAAAACTGGAACATAGAAGAAGGATAAAATCTCTAGTGTGCAGATGAAACAAGAAAAGTCTAATACAGGCATTCTTCCAGCATAAAAAAAAAAGCCTCCACCTCTCGGTGGTCTCTCATATTTATATGATCGGCTCAGAGTGGTTACATAAAAAGGAAAAAATATATTGAGGAATAAAAGGAATCTTTAACTCTTTGTGTAATGATTTGTGAAGTATAGTGTTATATCACTATGGGGCTAGCTAACAAAGTAACCATACCTTATCATGCGGATATTGACTTATCGAATTATAGGGCAGATTTTCATAGTTGAATAGGCTTGTCTAAAATGACATTTGCCTAATTAGCTGAATGAAAAATGAAATCGACAAAGAAAGTTTGTCGTGGTCGAATTTGGCTGTCAACTTGCGATTCTTCCAAATATGCTCATAGAATATTCACATTAAATCATGTATCTGATGCAATCCCATACTTTGAACTTGGTTGGGGGGTTTTTGTCCATACATATTAAGAGTCTATTTGGGCAACTACAGCTTATTGAAAAACTGTCACGCAATAGTTGTGTCAGGAAGCTGCTGTGCAGAAGTTGTTGTCGAGAAACTGATTGTCGGTTTGTTTTTTGTAGCTTTACAACAGCTATATTGAAGCTGCAAACAAATGACCTTTATGCCCCTATAGTATACTTTGTTTATAATAAAACTAATCATGCTAGCACATTTCATTTTTGAAAATAAATATCTAGGTTGAACATAAAAAATAAAAACAGACATCTTACTAAATGTTAAGTAACACGACAATCAAATTAAAAAAATGACGATTTAAAAAAAATAATAATAATATGATAATATTATTTTTAAAATGCAGTTGGTTAATGTCTCGAGATAATCCGTCCTACAATGAAAATATTCACGTTTGATCATTATCAACGGTGGAATCCTTGAACCAATCCGCCAACCTAAAGAAATCACAATTTTTTGTTCTTCTCCTTAGACACCTGTAAAATTATTTCTTATAGCTATGTGGTTGTCGCGAAGTAAGCAGAGAAGATTGTAGTCCACAGTAGTTGTACAATGCTTTTGAGGTACCGATAGCCCTCAAGCTCATCTTTTCTGAATATAAAAAAACAAAGCACAACTCACATTAATGATAAAAAATAGTAGCAATACTCGATTTAAGTTTTATGAAATTGTGATGTCTTAGAGAATAGAATGTAAACCAACGATTTCGTTATCACAAAAAGACAATAGACTTTATAAAAAAAAAGGTTTTTGGTTATCTTTAAACCACATAATACCGAGCTCGTATATGTCACATATGTATATCATCTTAAAGACCATCCAAAAGTATCCCAACAGTCATATGCTGAAAAAAGTGAGGTACTTAGTTTCCTTCATAACGATTGTATACTTGTGAAGAACCAATAACATATAAGTCATTCAAAAGAACCCATAAGGTCGAATATCTCATCATAGACCTCTAAACAAAAAAATAAAACATGCAATAAAAACTTACATTAAATATTATACTCACGATTGCCTCACATGTCATCCAAGTGGGAAGAAATACATGCAAAAGGATTTGAAATAGAAGATTCCCTACATTGAGATTCAAAACAGACATCGTTGCATGAATCATCAATACAATAAACAATAAACATTTTCATAACACATTGAAAATAAAGTATCAAAGATGACATCCAAAATTCGCTCCGTTCAACTGTCAACGATGAAATCCGTAATTCATTCGCTCAACTCTATCATATCTCCTGCACTTTCCTCATCCTGACTGTAAGTTTCAGACAAATTCTTTCAACCTGGGATAAATTTGGTTCGAAGCGATATTCATATGCTTAACCAGAAACTTGTGAATGAACTTCATCAGCCATATTGAAGTCAATGTCATTGTGTGTAGGATGCTGTCAAATGCAGTTGTGGTCTTGTGGAGAGCCATTGGGTGAACACAATTTGCATATTCCGCGGAATTACTCATTTTTTTCTTCAAAACTCCAAATGTTCTTCAATGACATCACATAAGAATGAGTCTCTTGTTAAACATCTATTTCCTATCTCGAGTGATATTGTTAGTTCTTTCAAAATCATGAACGTTGTATTTAGTATCAGAAAATGGTTTGAGAAACCCTCTTTGTAAAGGAGTATCCTGTATCAACCAAATAATATTTATCTGACATAAATATAATAATTGGTATTGCAGTGAAAATACCTTCTCATTTATTGAAACTCAAACCAACCTAGGAGTGTATGTGGAAAGTTTTATTTTTGAGTTCTTATGATAAATATGAATATGTGACTATCGTGTGCACTACCTATTCAATCTGCCATAACAAAAGTAAAACACATGTTAAAGTCACATACAATAATGATATTTTGTGTTGGTGATCTGCATCACCCGATGAATGCGACATTCTCATTATTCGACATACACGTGCATTCATGTGTGTTCCATCGATCACTCTAATACAATCTTAAAGCATTTAACGAGGGTATCTGAATTATTATGTTCATTTGAATTTAGGAAAATATTAATGAATTGAATTATTTTACAATGGAACATATACTGCTGGTCCTGTGAAATCTCATTAAGAGTCTTTTAGGATGTTGGATACTGGGATTTGATAATTTATGATGATAAACTGACCAGAGCATTTAACCCAATTGAAAAATATTTACTGATTGTTTCAGATGAGTATTAAAATCGTTCTATGGCACCTCTCATACATTCATTCTGCGATAAAATTTAAAGATACATTATGTGATAAAATTTAAAGGGTTATAGCTAGTAACTCTCTAGAAGTCATCCTGGCAGAGCTATGAAGTTTGTGATTCCGGTGTAATTCTTCTAAAAGATCTACTAATATGAGCTGTGTCATACAAAACATCTTGTTAAATCTTGTTGGGCGTCTTACTAGCAACTCTTCAACTAACTTATCGCTTATGTATGTTGATGTCATACATAGAAAACGAACAATATATGAGTTGTAGTAATCATACATGAGGCAAAACGCAGTTGCAATTCTTTTTCTATGTTTTTCTCCATTCATATTATGCATTGTCTATGTAGCAAACACATATGCATATCATCGAATTAGCTAGAATCATAACATTATTTATTCAAAAGAAAAATAAAGAAACTTTGAAAAGCAATTAACAAGCGTTCAAGAAATAAAATCGGAGCTTATCATAAGTGGCATAAATACTGTCATCTTAAAAAAAATAATATAAAATGTCCAACAAATTAAAATGATATTCATGCATTTTGGTTGTCATGAAAATAACAAAAATAATTGACCATGCTGTCTGAGGTTATCATTATAAAGAACTTCCAAAATTCACACGACTTGCTGAATAAAAGTTGCTTATAATGTGTTGGGATCATTGGTGCATGGTGCAACTAACTGTGAGATTTGACTTCTTATGAAACTACATCATTTTTTTTTTCTAAACTCTAGGACGCTTTGATCGATTAGTGGATTTGACTTCATTGAGGTTCGAGCTCGAGCCTTCATTGAGTCAGCTGTTTGTTCGGCACCCAAGTTCTCAGCTATGCTAGCAAACCCTCGCTCATTTGGGGCCCATGCATGATCGCCCGTTATTGCGACTCCACCAAACATACGACCCATCTCTCTTCCAGCTCAGGGTCAATGCCACAGAATTTGAACTTTTTCGCAGTTGGCACTACCTACAAAGTAATGAAAGATTGATATGTTGATGTATCTAAAGAAAAAAATTGATAAAAGGAGTGGTGGTTTCATAAATCCTCACATCTAATTTCTTAGCCCACTATTCTTCCGAAGCATCAACTGTTCTTTTTATCGAATCCCAACCCAAGCCCGCGGGTCCTTGCTTCAATTCTTTCCAAAATTTTTAGTCCTTTTTAAATTGATCTCATTTATTTTTCAATGCATCCCATCTTATTCCCTTCTCGTGCTTTCCTTATACTTTTTTATAATATTTTCTCAGCCTTCGTTAAAATAAATTGTTGACCTATTTTCAAATTTCACCTCCTTAAAACAAAGGTCGTAAAATATTAGTTTGTGGTCTTTATCCCACATAGTAGATGAATCAATTTTTTTTTTGTTTTAATGATTATGATATTAGCATGAAAAGAACCGATCAACATAAATTTTTTTCACAAAAAAACATAAAGTATCATTTAAGATACCACGACTCAAATGGATGAATAAAAAGAATCATCATCACAAAACCACTACCTCCATACAACCACAACAATATGATCACCACTATCAACATATCATTACCACTGCCAGCTTACCAACACTACCACGAACATCAATACCACACTACTACCACAACACCACACCACACCACATCACAACACACCAACGCTAACACAACTACCAACACCACTACCACACCACACAACCATCACAACTTTACGACCACTATCAACATATCATCACTACCACCACATTACCAACACTACCACCAATATTAACAGCACACCACTGTCACACAACACCACTACCAACACCAACATCACTATCACACGACACAACCATCACAACATATCCACCACTATCACCACCACATCACCAACACCACACTATCGCCACAACCACCATCACATCACAAGCACTATTTCAGACAACTATCACAGAAAATTTCCTCACAGTTCCAATTCTCTAATAACTCAATAAAAAAATATTAAAATTTCCTCACAGTTCCAATTCTCTAATAACTCAATAAAAAAATATTCTACTTCATAATAACCAGTGATTTTCAGGTAGTTGGTGGCTGCTGGTATCTTCTTGCAATTCAACGATTTGCTTCATGCCTAAATCTGCAATGCCAGAAGAGCAACAGCTGCAATCTCATGTCACTGACCTGCTCCACTGCAGGCCTTTCGCCAACTTTCTCAAGCTCCTCTGGTCATAATTTAACAGCATCCACAGGTGGCTGGAATCTCCAAGCTTGTTTGGACGGCGATGGCTCATTTCCATATGGTATATACGACTCAGCTCCTCCTGTGGTTTCCAGCAATTCACTCGCCGTCAAGATTCTTTACCCTGTTTTCTGGGGCCTCATGACTCTCAGGTACAAGTAATCCGAAACCATTTTTACAAAAAATAAATAAATAAATAAACAAATAAAACAGAAGAAGAGAAAAAAAAAACCTTGCTAACTCAAGAGTAAACCATAAATACTTACAATAAACTAACTGCTGCAGGAAGGATCATAATTTAGGGTCTTTCGGTTTGTAGAGAGGTGAATGCGGTATTAAAAGGAATGCAGTGTAATTGAAATATAATGGATTTTAAATATTTTGGAGTTATTTGATTGAGTGTAAAATAAATGAGTTAGTTTATCTTTTCTTTTTTGTTTAATTTGAAGAAAAAAATGAAATCAATATAAAATATAATTAATTTGAAGAACGAATGAAATCAATATAAATATGACCGGTTACAAAGATAGGTGGGCAATGGCTAGTGAGGGGGGAAAGCAGGTAGGTGACAGCGGCCAAAAGGCACCAGCGCCAGGCTTATCGATACCAGGCGGCTAGCCACAGCAGCGCAGGTAACGGTAGTTGGCAGCTGGAGGCGGGCGCCGCAACAGAAGGTTGGTGGCTGCTGCGGTGCTAACAAATACAATTTATTGTATATTTGAAAATTGCTCAAATCTGATAAATTTAGAATACACGAGTTTTAAACTACAGGGTGAATTCAAAATTTACCAAATATTTATATTGTGTTTCATTTTTGTTGAACCAAACACCAAAATTTTGAACACCAATGCATTCCATTGACACCACACCATAAATTCAGCCAACCAAACAACCCTAGGCTCATCCTAACTATTTGGAATTGGCATTATGACACCCTTTTTTGTTGTTCCAAAACAGTGCAGCAGAAACCAAGTCCACATATATTTTGAGCAATCCTTCTTCCTTTGATAAGCTAATGCAGAGTTTTCTTAACATATTTGGAACTTATCTTTCTATTGAAACAGCACTTTTGGCAATAATCTGGAACCAACGAGCCAGTGGTTGGAAGTGATATTCAGCATAATTACTGTGCTGAGTGGTCTCATGCTCTTCACTTTACTGATAGGAAATATTCAGGTCTGCTACTCAGCCTCAATATTAGCCTGTTTAACAGTCATGAATGCTGATGCTCGTGCTTCTGAAGTCTGGGACTTACCTGCAGGTTTTCCTGCATGTGGTTATGGCGAGGAAGAGAAAGATGCAGCTAAGGTGTCGAGACATGGAATGGTGGATGCGGAGGAGACAGCTTCCATCACGACTAAGGCAGAGAGTGCGACAGTATGAGCGTCAGAGATGGGCAGCGATGAGAGGGGAAGATGAAATGGATATCATTCAGGATCTTCCTGAAGGGCTTAGAAGGGACATCAAGCGACATTTATGCCTAGAACTCATTAAAAAGGTACTACAGACCAAATCTATTCTTTAGGTTCATATTGATAAGTCACTACTCTGATTGGAGAAAAATAGTGCATGCCCTAAAAATGAGAGCTGGACGGAGAAAATTATAATTTTTATGTAGTGCTTATTGTTACGAGCAAAAGGAATTCGTTAAAGGGGTAATTCATTGTTACTCTCTATGTGCTTTGTTAAGAAAAAAGAACACAAATTATCATCGACTAAGATAAATTGCACAATCAAAAGCACACAAAATTTACGTGAAAAAACACGTAAACGGAAAAAAATCACGAGAGGGTTGGAGCTGAACTACACCAACAAAGAAAAGAGGTGGAGAGTGTCAAAGTTTTGAGAAAAATATGCTAAATTCTGAATAGGCTCAATGTCTTTTCCCTTGCTTTCATTCCATTAAATAATAATCTTACAATTTATTTTAGGAACAAAATATTTTGTATAATCTATTTTTGGTAACTTAATACATATTCCTAATCTAAATATTAAGCTAAAAGGGAAATAAATCATAATAAGGATATTGAAAATAATTTAAATAAGGAAGCTCCTAATTATAGAAAACCCCTAATTTAGCTGCCTAATTTTCGTCCTTCCTGATTGACATCACACTTCAAATTGTTGCTGACTGATCAGGAAGCCCCCTTCAAATTGATGCTGACTGATCAGGAAGCATCAATTTGCCAACAAGAAACTAATAACACTGTTGGGACCAAAAAATCCTCAAGCCGTGAGTGCAGAAGCCGAGAATGTCGAAGCTTCAGAGACAACTCCTGAACTATAACATGATTTGAGCAAAGAAAAACAAGAAATTCTTTATCATTGTTGTCCAGAAATTTGAATCATAGCCACAATGAATCATAGCCACAAGAAGGATCACAAGAAGGATCTGCTTCCAATTACACGATCCAAATGCTACTGATCATAGTTCACAAATAGGATCTAGTTACACGATCCAAATGTGATATATCATAGCCTACAAGTAAGATCCGTGTCCTAATTTAAATGCTACCGATCATAGCCCGCAAATGGCATCCAGTTACATGACCCAGATGATATCGATCATAGCCTAAAAGTAGGATCCACATCCTGATCCAAATGTTGTCGATCATAGCCCACAAATGGGATTCAGTTACACAATGATCCACATCCTGATCCAAATGCTGCCGATCATAGCCCACAAATGGGATTCAGTTACACAATCTAGATGCTATCGATCATAGCTTACAAGTAGGATCCGCGTCCTGATCCAAACGCTACACTACATAGCCCACAAATAGGATCCAGTTACATCCAATTACACGATCCAAATGTTATCAATCATAGCCTACAAGTAGAATCCGCGTTCTGATCCAAATGCTACCGATCATAGCCCACAAGTAGGATCCGCGTCCTGTTATACGATCCAAATGCTATTGATTCTTTATTGATTTATTGATTCTTCCTGCGATGACGAGGACGATTTGTTCTCTGATCTTCACCCTAAAAGTGCTAAAGCCGAGATGTCGAAGTTGTGGGTCTAGGAAGGAGTGTTGAAGTCTTCAATCATTGTTGTTAAGAAATATATACCAGAGCAGTTGATGTGGTATATATATAAATCAAACAGGAGAAAGATCGACGGAGCGAAAAATAGAACGAGAAAAATTACACCAGAAAAGAACACACAGATTTACGTGGTTTGGCAAATTGCCTACGTCCACGGAGTTGCAGAGGATTTTACTACTTGAGGAAATTTACACCAGTCGATCACCTCGACTTACAAGAGGAATCACTCACTCTTTGTTGCTCTCTCTCTTCTTCTCTCTCTGTTCTTCTCTCTCTACACCGAGATACGCCGAAGAAGACAAACTTACAAGAGAAATAAACCCAATTTCTCTTCTGCCACAAGCCACCAAGAAGAAGCCTAGGGAGAACAATCTTCTTCTTCTTCTTCCTTCTTCTTCCTTCTGCCGCAAGAAACTACTCCTCCTTGCACTTCTTCTCTTCCACTGTCCCGTGGAAACCCGAAGAACTCTTCCTCCATCCCGAGGAAACCTAAAGAAGAAAATCGTGACTTCTTGTATCTTACAGATATGAAGGAGAGCCTCTCCTTTTATCACGAAGAGAAGGGAGCAAAGAGATGCTTCTCTTCGCGAAATAGAGGAGACGGGAAAGGTTTCTGGCGAAGGGATGCTTCTCTTCGCAAAAAAGAAAGGAGGGAGTGGTTATTTGTGAAGAGGTGTGACCCTTCGCGACCGTACTTTCGCGAAAATAGAAGGAGAGGAGGGAGCAGGAGTTCACGGGTTGGGTGGACCTGACTCCACGCCAATGCTAACACTTGGGTGCGACGAAGAAGCCGAAGTAGAAGCGGACGAAGCCAAAGCAGAAGCAGTCGAATATGCCGCAAAAGCAACGATGGCTAGCGAAGGAGATCCGAAGCAGATGAAGCGAACGAGATCGAAGATTGCGGATGAGACTTGAATCACAGACAAGATAACAAATGTATATAATCACATATCACAACTGGAATCAAATGCAGGAGACATAACCAGACGCGGGAGATGGAAGAAGGCGAATCGAAGGCGGGAGATGGAAGAAGGCGAATTGAAGGCAGACAAAGCAGTCGCAGCAGACGAAAATTCTTAAATGGGCGAATCGAGGCAAATAAATAGTTCTTCTATTATAGCAAGAAGGCCAGCGGGAATGAAGCCTTGACGGTCCTCTAATAACTACCGGTGGTTAGGGTAAAATTTTGGCTCTGATACCATGTTAAGGTTTTGAGAAAAATAGGCTAAATTCTGAATAGGTTCAATGTCTTTTCCCTTTGCTTTCACTCCATTAAATAATAATCTTACAATTTATTTTAGGTATAAAATATTTTGTTTAATTTATTCTTAGGTAACTTAATAATACATATTCCTAATATAAATGTTCAGCTAAAAGGGAAATAAATCATAATAAAGATATTGAAAATAATTTAAATAAGGAAGCTCCTATTTATAGAAAACTCCTAATTTATTTGTCTAATTTTCATTTTTCCTGATTGACAGAATGAAATGTAACTTGGAGCTTCACTTTTGATGGAATTTTAATGCAAGATGGAGATTTATAAAACAATCACTTAAAATTTCTTGTGAAATATAATATCTAATATATTTCTTGCGTAATATATTTGATAATAAATATATTTTCTTGCTTAATATGTTTATTTCCAAATAAATTTGATATCAAATGTATTCTGGTTAAATATATTTTTTCTTAATTCTATAAATATTCATGACATTTCATGAGTTGTGGGGTGTGGAAAATTAAGCAAGAAACGAAGAGGTTTTGTATTCGGCTTAAATATTAACCTGAGTAAAATTTAATATCAATGGACTTGGTTCGCTCGTGATATATTTAATATTTTGTCAGATTAATAGTACTTTAACTATCACAAAATAGTCATCTTCATAGACTTCCCGTTAAACTCTCTCAATAAGTCTCTTAACTAAATGACTTCTCATATACCATCACAAACAATCATATATTTGGCCTCAGTTGTAGAAAGAGTTATACACCCACTAGTATCATTAATAGGTGACTACATCATAGTCAAACATATATATACAATCACTCTATATAGAGTATATCATTCACAATTTCATATAACTCAACATATAATACTATAATGTATCAATTATTTCATAATATGTGACTAAGCATTCATATTGAGATAACTGTTAGAATTTAATAACAAAAAATTCAAATTTATTAATCAAGCATGAATAACAATCCATAAAACTAGTTTAGAAGAGATATTAAAATATTACTATAATTTAACACTATGGGTATTCACCTCGATAACTCTTAATTTGATAAGATTTGTCATGACATTGATTCTTCTAAATAAAAATTAAAAACTTGTAGTAAACGTGATATAAAATATAATTTTTTTAATTATTTTAATAAACTATTAAATGCAATTTATGAGATCTCGCTATTTTTTTTATTCAATATATATATATATATATATAAATGCGAACAAGTTTGGTTGGCATCCTCGGTCTAAGACTCCTTATGTTGAGAGTTCAAATCCTCTCTGGCACAATTGGTTTTAAAGAGGTGGTACTCGAATTGTTAGGCACATTAGGAGTGATTGGAGGCTCGTATAATAGCCTCTGACCATTTATTTAATATATATATATATATATAAGTTTTATCATTAAATTAATTAAATAAGTTTTATTAAACTTAATGCCTTGAATCAATCAAGCCCTAAACCCTGCGCAAAAAGGCTTCTTCCTCTAAAAAAAAATTTGTCCAAACTCCGGACGTAGAGTCCTATCAAATATTGCCATGTGTTATTACGGTCCCACTAAATAAAAAATGAATTCCGCCGCTTAAAAATTGAGTGATCTGCCCTGCAATAATTCCCAAATAACATCTAAATAACCTCTTAATAATCCCGCAGAACCACCGCAATAACCCCCTGCTCGTTTCCTCTCTCTTCTACAATTCTTCGCTTCATCTCCTCTAGGGAACCGAAATGGAACCGTTACAAGTATGATTAATCACACAACCAAATGCATATAGAATTTACATGAAAAAGTCTATAAACAGAAAAAAAGCCACGAAAGAGCTGGAGCAAAAAAATCAGTAATAATAAAAGATGGTCAAGGATTAAGCCAAACACAAAACCTTTTAATTTCTTGCTTGATTTCTCACACCCCACAACCCCATAAGAATTCATAGTCACAAAAGAATACATTCGAAGAAAACTATATTTGGTATCGAATATATTAAGCAATAAATATTTTTGGAAACAGATATTTTATAATTTTTTTTTCCAAATATATTCTATAAAAAAATTCAAGACATTATTTTACATGCTTCATGATCTAATACTAAAACATTTAATGTCATAATGATGGTCTGTTGGTCAGGTTCCTCTATTCCACAACCTGGATGATTTAATCCTAGACAACATATGCGACAGAGTCAAGCACTTGGTATTCTCCAAAGATGAGAAGGTAAGTTAAGACTCACACAGAGTTATCATAACAACAACAGGTGAATATTTTTACTTCTCTAAATCAGGTAATTAGAGAAGGAGACCCTGTCCAGAGAATGATATTTATTGTTCATGGTCGCTTACAAAGCATCCAGTGTCTGAGCAAAGGCATGGTTGCAACAAGCATGTTAGGCCCTGGAAATTTTGTTGGAGATGAACTCCTTTCATGGTGCATCCGGCGACCATTCATTGATCGCCTCCCACCTTCCTCTGCCACATTTGAGTGTGCCGAGCCAACCGAGGCCTTCAGCCTCGAAGCACACCACCTTAAGTACATAACCGAGCATTTTCGTTACAGATTTGCGAATGAGAGGCTCAACAGAACAGCAAGATATTACTCGTCGAATTGGCGAACGTGGGCGGCTGTCAACATACAGCTAGCATGGCGGCGCTACAAGAAGAGAAGCATGAGTGGTGCTGACATAACGATTAAAACTGAAGATCACGATCGACGGCTGCGGCTTTATGCTGCAATGTTCATGTCCATCCGGCCTCATGATCATCTGGAGTAGAGTAGAGATGGAGAGAGAATAAAAGTCTTTTTTTTTTTACTTGGATTGGCCTTCCATGGACTCAACAGAAGCTCAGAATTTTTATTGGACAGGTTTTTCAGAGATGATATTACTGAGCTATGATTCTGCTATATATTGAAGGAATGAATAAGTACAGTTGCTGCGCTGTCCTGACAAACGATGATGGTTTTAATGCCATTGGGCTTAGATTGGGTGTAGAAACTGAAGACTTGGGTGAATAATTTTATGAGTCATCCTTCCCAAATGAGCAGAAAGAATAAGGCTGAGCTAATTTTCATAAGGTTAAGAGAATGGAAACCTTCAACTTCAGCTATCATTTCAACAAAATAAGCCTGAATTATGGCGAGAGTTGACAAATTGTTGAGGTTTGAGTCTGTAATCTGCTATGAATTTTCTCATACTGTTCTGAGTTCTGACATAAAGCTTGTCCAGGCCTCTTTTATGCTCATGATTTTAAATGTCATTTGTTTAAGAGATGGAGTGTGGCTAGGGGTGGAACCAACATTATAATATTGGATAGGGGGCGGCATAAAATTATTAAATTGCTTAAATTGCATAAGCAAAAAATTGAAATTATTTTGCATAAACACTTAACCTATACATGGAAGAAATGGGCTTATATAGTCTTATAACTTTCTTTACGAATAAAATCCTTGACTTCTTCAATATTTCTTATGTACAAATAGGATCCTAAACTATATGCAATTCTCAATACTCCCTCTCAAGATGGGCAAAAAATATCCACTAATCCAATCTTGTTACACAACCTAGATAGATTTGATGAGCTAAGTCCCTTGGTGAGGCTCTCAACTATTTTCTCTTTAGTAGCTACATGAGTTATCTCAAGTAGTCTACTATTCAACTTCTCCTTTATGAAGAAGTTATCAATCTCCACATGGTTGGTTCTATCGTGCTGCGCTGGGTTGTTGGCAACGTTGATTGTTGACTTGTTGTCGCACCACAACTTCATTTGAGCTCTTTGACCCACCTTGAACTTTACCAATTGAGTTCTCAGCAGTAACATCTCGACAACTTCCAAGACCATGACCTTATATTCTGTCTTTGACGTTGACCCTGCAATTACCGACTACTTTTTGCTCTTCTAAGAAACCAAATTGCCCCCTATGAACATGTAGTATCTTGATGTGGACCTCTTGTTATCAGCACAATTAGCCAAATCAAAGTTACTATAGCCCTATCCCGTAAGGTCTTGGGCAGATATTTTCGCAGCATATGCAAGGTATCCGATGAGACTCGTTGTCGGGATGATTTACGTCTCACTCTTGGCGGATCTCGTCGTTATCGAGCGGGGAACCATTTCTAGAGCTTGGACTTATCCCGGGCTCTAAGACGTGGTTTCTCATGCATGCTGTTTAATCATCGGTTGATTGCTTATGTCAAAGGGTTACGCCAAACTTCACTATATATGAAAATTACTTTTTTTTTTTCTTGGGCCAAATGGGGGCTACACCCAACTTCACTATAAAGAAAACGTTCAATTACACTTGAGAATCAAAAAATAATAAGAGACAAGTTACAATTATGAATTGTAAAGTATAAATGAAACCAAATAAAGCTAGAGCAAATATATGAATCATGACCTATCAGGCTACCAAAATGTTTGCTCACATATTTGATGATAGGCTCATAGTTTGCTTTTCACTTATATGTTAGAGTAATTGCTTATTACTCCTAATGATATCTTCTACATGAGTTCATGTTTAGTAGGGAAAATGTTAAAATTAATTAAAACTAATCATTCATTTTTTGAAAGTGGTTGCTAGTTCATGTTTATGCCCTTAAGCACAATCTATTAGAACATAGAACTTAACACGAATTCGTGCTAAGTCCATATGTATGATTATGCTAATTTGTACATGTATTGTGCCTACTAACATCTATTTTATAAGTTAATTTAGACTTTCATTTTAGAATTCACAAGATAATTTAAAATTAGAACTAGGTGTGGGACCAATGATACTAGAATGAGCAATGATGAATTGTGCAGTCTCATGGTGCACTACATGAACTAGAAGGACTTATAGTATGAAAAAGAAGGAAAATTAAAAATGAATAATGGGAACACCCTTATAGGCCAACCAATGAGAATAACCGGCCTCTTTAAGAAAGTCCATCTCAACTTTGGTTAGCCTTTAAATTTAATTGATAATGCATGCATATAGTCGCATACTTACATCATCTAAATTGATTTTAAATAATTAAATAAAATATAAAAATGATAAATTACTATGTTAATTAGAAGCATTACGCACAAGTCAAAGTCAGGTCGCTCGAACGATAGAGTTAAGTTGTAAGTTCCACTAATTCTACAAATTTAAAAAGAGTTCTAACATTTATTTACGTTTTGAACTTCTCCGTTTCTTTTTTTTTTTTACGGGATAAACCCTTACCTCCTAAATTTTCTTATAATTTTATATCGTTAGAATGTAATTTCTAACTTTCTAATAAAATGAATAACTCCAATAAAATAAATCTCAATGTTTGAAATATAAAACCGAAGACATAATATCAGAGCACTACTCTTCTCAATATTCGAGCATTTTTAACTTCTTCTCCTTCATAATTTGAACAGAACCATTCTTGCTTAATCCTTCCTTATTGATTAGCAAAATAGTAAGCTTGAAAGTAAACATTAAAATTTATAGAAACTTGAACCACTAATTATGAACCACTAATTTAATTGAAAGTGTTATTAGTGGATTACTTCCCTATTGAAATAATTAACTACAGGGCCTTTCTTTTATAGGGAAGTTGTACCTAGATTAAATAAATTCTATTTTACCAAATTAAACAGTAAAATAATATATGATTTAAGCATACTCACTGTCTGATATAAACATGTCAAACCTCTTATCTTACTATCTCAAGGCCTGCTTCAAGTCAGAGAGGCATTTCAACAATCTGCATATCAAATCTTGTTTCTTTGGAATCTCTTAACCTCGCAGTTGCATCATATATAATTCCTCCTTCATATTTCCTTGCAATAAAGTTATATTTACATCCATTTGTTCCAGATGTTGATCTTCTCTTGCTAATAAGATCAACATGACTTTGACACCATAAGAGAAAAAGTTTCAATATAGTTGTAGTCCACTTCTTTCTACCAAAGCTCCTTCACAATAAGTCTTACCTTATAGAGACTAATACGATCTGACTCCTCTTTTAGCTTGTAGACCCACTTGTTGTATGTTATTTTTTTTGTCCAGTTTGTAAAACAGTCAAATCTCAGGTTCGATTTGACTCCAAAAAATGTATTTCATTATTCATGGCAAGCTTTTACTCCTTTAATTCTTCAACTTTAGTGGTTTCCTTATAGCACTCTAGGTTGCCACTATATGTTAACAACATATATTACAAATAAGGAGAATACCACCACTATCACTTAGGTCATGGTGACGAGTTGCAATAACGCCTGTAAGCCACATAGGACAGAGTTGGGAGTTGTATGAGCTATGGACGACTTTGGCTGTAGTTAGTCACATATACCATGATAGTGAGCTACAATAACATTTATAGATCATAGAGGTTGAAGTTGGGAGTTGCATGTAGGCTATAGTGGTGAGCTACAATAATGTCGATAGGCCACAGAGGCCGAAGTAGCTATGGACTATATAGATCATAGTGGAGAGCTACAATAACATCCGTAGGTTATAGAGGTCGGAGTTTGGAATGACGTGAGTTGTGAATCACATAGGTCGTAGTTGGTCATATAGGCCGTAGTGAGTGACTATAATAGCGTCACTTGGCCGTCAAGGTTGTAGTAAGGGGTTGCAGTTGGAGCAAATCATATAGGTCGTAAGTCTTAGTAGGGCGATGTGAGGTGAAAAATTCAGGAGTTATAAGAAGTTCATCATATTCTTAGTACAACAATTATCAGCAATTATTGTGGGGTGTTACACCATCTTTTGGGTGCGCCGTTACACCAACTTTGAGATGTGTTGTTACACTAACTTTTGGGCTTGTTGTTACACATTTTTGGGGCACATCATTGCACTGTCTACATGGTACATCATTGCACCGTTTTTGGAGCGCGTCGTTGCACTATATTCAAGGCGCGTTATTGCGCATCACTTTTTTATCCTACAAGGAACTCCGATGGCAACAAGAAGAGAGGAGGCTGATAGTGGCCGACGACGGCTGAAAGCGGTGGTCGATAGTGGCCGAAAACTACGGGAGCAAAAAGTGTTCATCGGGTATTTGGTTAAGAATAGCTATGAAAATTGGTTCCTTCTTCTCCTTTAGGTCTAGGCCCAACTTCGGTCCCCAATTTTCATGAAGGGGGTAGGGTTCTATTTATAGAATATAGAAGTCTCTCCCCTACAAATAAGTAAGCAGATTGATCTATCAGACGACCATAGAGATTCTCATGATCAAAAGAGTTTTATGGACATTTAAGTACCTTCATGATGTCAGAAATTTAGTGATGTTAAGCTTATTGCATTTGTCTTACCTAAATGCTCTATTTAATTATAAGCTTGTCAAATTTAGAATCCATTAGACCTTACAATTAACATCTCAAAGCTTCCAAATGTGGTTTAACGGCTTGATACAGACTCAAATTGGGTCAATTTTGATGTCATTGGGTCTGCTTTGTCAAGCCGGTCGGTTTGACTATAAGCTTGTTTAATGTGGAGTTTTGGATGATTTTTAATTTGAATTTGAATGTTTTCTGCTTTAAAAATGTCTAGAAATTCATGTCAAATGACAAAATTTATTGACAACGAATTATTATAATTTAACTAATGAATTTGCCATAATTCATATCGATATATCTATTTTAAATAACTAGATATGAGTGGGCGTGTATCTATATATATATATAT